CCCCATTATCACCGTAGAAAGTGTGGGAAGAGGTCCTCACCAATCTGTGGGTCCCCGCGGCCCCGAGGGAAGCTGACCCTCTCAGGCCAGCGTCTCGGGCTCCTGCCCTCCCATGCTAGGCCACCCGCCCTGGCCTCGGAGCTCCGTGGGCCCCAGACGCAGGGGAACCCACCTCAGTCAGGGTGGCCCCTCTGGCCAGCTGCAGTCCGCGGCTGGCCTCAGTCTGCATGCCTGGAAATGGGCAGGTGGGTGGCAGCCAGCAGCCACATCACTGGCCGTGGCCAAAGACAATTCCGCGCCCCACCAGGAGCTCCTGCCTCCGGGACGTGGCCCTGACCTGGGTCTTGCTGGGCGAGGGCTGGCCCCGCTAGCGGCAGCTGAGCACACACACATCGTCGGCGAAGCAGAAGGGGGGATCCACCATTTTATAAAAAGGACACTCATTTCTTCTCATCTAAAACTCCTCCTCCAGAAGGTGAGCTTTGGAGGCTTTCTGCTCTGGGCGTAGCCAAGAAAGTTTCTCCGCAGCAGTGACGCGCCAGCAGACAGAGGTCATCGCAGAATCACTCAGGGGGGCTCAGAGCCCAGCGATGAGAACGGTCTTACGCTGTCCTTTGCCTGCTTGAGGCAGTGCTCTCTGCATTACTTTTTATTTTCTGTGACAGGAAGGATTCTGCTAAGATACATTTCCCCCAAATAGGAAGAGATGTTTCTGAGTCAGGTGTGCCCAAGGAGGCGGCGGTCACGCCACGCGGGGGACCCCGTCTCCTGCTGGGTGACCTGGCCCGAGGCTGGCCCGCCTGTGGGACCTCCTGTGCCCGGCCATCCGTGGCCCTGTGCAGTCCTTCTTCTGGGGGCCCCGGGGAAATAAAGTGCATTCCGTGCGGGGCGATGCGCTCTGCTTCATTAGCGTGTGTTCTCCTCGGTAACGATGTGGTCTATGCAATTAATGCATAGTCTATTTGGTAACAATGCCCCTAATTAATACGAGTTCTATTTAGCAACAATGTGCTCTATTTAATTAATTTCATGTGTTCTGGGTAAAAACCTCAGGCTTCATGTGACTGATTTCCCCTGTTCCCTGGCCCTACTGAATTCTACAACACGGAGGTGCCACTGGCGGGTTCTGGGGACATTCCGGGAAGAGGTGGCTTGCCCCCCAGAAGGTCTAAGAGGGCCTCAGGGGGGTTCCTGGAGCCAGGGTGGATCAGGTGGGGGCAGGTGTGAGCTGGGCTGGGCTGGGGCCCGAAGCCCCACATGCATCTCCCTGGCGTCCCCTCTGGCTTCCACGTGGGCCTTGTCCTCCTCTGGTCCTGCCTGCCTCCTTGGTTCTCGCTTCAGGGGCCCCACCTGGCCCCTCCCCAGCCCTGCACCACTGACCTGGCCTCCCAAATCCGCTACTGCTGCTTCTTGGGCGCTGTGTCTCTTCCAGTGAGTGAACAGTGAGGAGACAGTGAAGAGACATGAGGGGAGAGTGAGGAGACAGTGAGGGGACATGAGGGGACAGTGAGGGGGACAGTGAGGGGACATGAGGGGGACAGTGAGGAGACAGTGAGGGGACAGTGAGTGGACAGTGAGGGGGACAGTGAAGGGACATGAGGGGACAGTGAGGGGACATGAGGGGATAGTGAGGGGACATGAGGGGACAGTGGGGAACTATCAACAAGAGTAGAGTGGAGAGGGCAGTCCCGGTGGCACAGCGGTTTGGCGCCACCTGCAGCCCGGGGTGTGATCCTGGAGACCCCGGATCGAGTCCCACGTCAGGCTCCCTGCATGGAGCCTGCTTCTGCCTCTGCCTGTGTCTCTGCTTCTCTCTCTCTCTCTGTGTCTTCTATGAATAAATAAATAAAATGTTTTTTTTTTTAAAGAGTAGAGTGGAGACCACGGGCATGCAGGCAGAGCTGGCTGCATACCTGTGATGAGGACTGTGTGTCAGCTTCATGGACTAAGGGTGCCCAGTTGTGGCCAAATCATTCTGGGGGTGTCTGCTGGGGTGTCCCAGCCACTGGGCAGGCACAGCTGTCCCAGGCCACGACCACGGAGGCTGTGACAGCAGAAGGGGTGGCCGTGGAGGGGGTGCACCAGACCCCAGGGGTGAGGGCAGTGCAGAGCGGAGCCCCAGGGCCAGAGGGGCCAGAGTGAGGAGTGTGCCCCGTCCTTGTAAACCACCAGATATGCATAAGGAACTTGACTTCATTGATAAGGCACATCTGCTCACATCGGGACTCAGTTTCCCCTTCCACCTCTTTTCTCACCATGACACATGGCCCATTTCTGTCTTGCACAACTTTTCCGTACTCGGGGGGAGGGGGGAGTACCTCGCGTGGAAGCAGCCCCTCAGCCCCACCCTGCTGGATCAGCACCCTCTCTTCCCCTGGGTGTGCCGCCTCGCTGAAGTCCCCGGCTCAGCCACCCCACACACGGGTCCCTCCTTTCCCACCCAAGCTGGCAATACCCGTGGACGCTGTGCAGATGCAGAGAAGCAAGCCGCAGGCAAGGAAAGATCTGCCGTGCCCCCTCTCAGAGCAGCTCTCCATCCCACTTCTCTGCTCCCGGTGCCAGGAGGCTGGCCTGCCCCTGCCTCCAGAAGTTTCCATCAGTGGGACTGGGCAGGAGTGGAAAGGGTGGGAGGAGGGTAGGGTGGGGGCTCACTTCCCTGCTGTCCCATGTTTGGGGCCATCAGGGCTGTCGGTGCCCCTGGCCCCAGGGCTGTTAGGCGGCTCTCCCTCTCCCTTCCCTCTGAGTTCTGCCCACACTCCCTCAGCCCTAGTAGGTGCCTGCCCCCCTCCCTGCCCTTACTCCTCCTGGCTCTGCACCACCTCTCTGGTTTCCCTTCCAATCAGGGGTTTTATTGGGCTCTTCTCAAATTTCCTCCTGGGACCAGAACAAATAATACAAGACCTGATGAGGAAGGGTTGCCAACGAGAAAAACTTGCTGGGGGAGGTGCAGCATGGAGTAGGGAGAGGAGGATTTCTGAGGCTAAAGAAAACAGGTGATACATTCAGAAGGGGAGGAGGACAGGAGAGGTGCTGCAGAGAGTCCCCAGGGCGTGAAACCGGGAGGGCAGATAGGAGGTCAGGGACATATTTAATAGGGAAAGAGGGCAGCAGAGGAGGGAGGGAGGAGGCCAAGGCAAGCTGGAAGGAGCAGGGACTCGGCACTGGGGGAAGGAAACAAGAGGATGAAAGCGGACCCAGGCCAGAGCAGGTAGCTGACATGACTCTCAGGAGGCAGGAGGGACACGTGATAGTCTTAGAAAGAGGCTGTGGCCCCGACTGGGAGGGATTCTGCTCACCTGCTCTCCCGCCGCTGGCCTTTGTACAGCAGAGGCAGACCTGGATGTGTGTCTCAGGCCATCTGAGTTGCTTTGACAAAAATATTACAGACTAGGGGGCTCATTGATGACTGAGTTCTAGAGGCTGGAAGTCCAAGGTCAAGGCATCAGCAGGTTCTGTGTCTGGTGGGAGCTTCCTGCTTCATCGACGTGGTGGAAGGACAAGGCAGCTATCTGGGGTCTTATTTATTTATTTATTCATTCATTCATTCATTCATTCATTCATGAGAGACACACAGAGAGAGGCAGAGACAGAGGCAGAGAGAGAAGCAGGCCCCACACAGGGAGCCCCATGTGGGACTCGATCCCAAGACTCCAGGATCATGCCCTGAGCCAAAGGCAGACGCTTAACAGCTGAGCCACCCAGGTGTCCCTGGGGTCTCTTTTAGAAGGCACTAATGTCACTCGTGGAGGCTCTACCCTTATGACCTCATCACCTCCCAAAGGGCCCACCTCCTGACACCCCAGCATTAGGGGTTAGACCCTAGAAGAATCACCCTTGCTATCACCCTGGGAGCACTGGAGGGAATAGAGAACATCTGAGTTTTCTGGTTTTCCCTTGCGGGGGTAGGTGGTAGTGCAATGCTGGTGCATTTGTCATGAGGAGTTAACAGGCAGTGCAAGTGGCTCCAGCCAGGTCTGGGAGCTGGCCATGTAACTACTGCAAGACAGGGCCCAACTAGTCAGGAGGCCTGCACTTGATTTTTTTCCACACTTATATCACATAGCAAATGCCCATGGGACTGTTGCCCCAAAGTACTCTAGCTGGTCACTGTGACTACAGGGAAAGTAATTTCCAAGAAATAGTGATTGCTGAGGAGGAAGACAATGGGAGGCAGGGAGAGAGCTAACGCTGGAGGGTTCTCTGTCCCGCCTGGGCAGGAGGGGAGGGGACCTACAGGGAGCAGGGTGATGCCTGCCTGGCTCTTGCACCTGTTGGGAGGACTAGGGGATGACAGTCCTCCTAGGGGGACAGCACACTTCTCATTGCTCTCCTCTCTTAAAGATAAAGTAATTTCCGGGTGGGAGGCGGTCTAGGTGCACATCAAGGTCTTCAGAGGGTCTGGGATCCCTGATGCTGGGCGGCTTGCGCGGGGCGGAGGAAGTGTCAGCTCACTTTTTATGGGACCGGGGCTGGGGGGGAATCTGGGTCGGGGAGACCGGAGGGGACCCGAGGTGGGGGGACCCGGGACCGGGAGAAGCCCCAGGGGCGGGAGTGTCGGGAGGGACCGGGGCGGGGGCGCAGGAGGAGCCCCAGGACGGGAGAGCATCAGGGCTGGGAGAAAGGAGGGGACCGGAGGTGGCGATCTGCAAGGACTCCGCGGCTGCCGCGCACCACCTCCCCAGCTCTGGCAGCGGAAGTCCGGTCGCCGGTCGGGGAGGCCCCGCCCCTTCACGTCCGCCTCGCTGGCCCCCGGACAAGGGTCCGCCCTGCATCCCTTTCGGCCCTCTTCCCCTGGCAGCCCCGTGCCTCGGCCTCGTAGGCCCCGCCCCCGGCGGCTCGGCCCCGCCCCGAGGCCCCGCCCTCAGGCCGAGCACTTCGGCGGGATCCCGAGCCCCGCCCACGCCCCCGAGGCCCCGCCCACCACGAGGCCCCGCCCACGGAGGCCCCGCCCCCAGGGCCCCGCCCCCTCCCGGGCGGCGGCGGCGGCGGCGGCGGCGGCGGCGGCGGCGGCGGCTGAGCGACCGTTGCGCGCGCGGGCTGAGCGGAGCGAGGCCGGCGGAGCGGCGGAGCGAGCGGCCGGTAGGTTGCGGGCGGGGCGCGGGGCCGCCCCGCCTCCGTTTCTTTCTTCTGTGGGCGCGCGCTCGCCCTCCGCGGCCCAGCCGCCGGCCCCGCCCAGCGCGGCGAGGGCCTGGGGGCGTCCTGCCGGCGTCGGGCCGGTCTGGGCCCCCGCGCCCCCGCGCCCCCGCGCCCCCGCGCCCCCGGGCCGCCCGCCGCCCGCCGGCCGCCGCCCGCCGGCCGCCGGCCGCTCTCCTTTTGTTCCCGGGCCCTCGGCGGGGACGCGGCGTGGGAGCCTGGGCTGTGGGGTCGCCGCGGGGCCGGCCGCTCCTCGGCGGGACCCGAGGGCCCGGGTCGGGGTTGGGGGGCGGAGGGGCCGGGAGCCGGGGCCTACGGTGCCCGCCGCGCCCCCGGGACCCGGGTTGGAGCCGGGGCGCCCGGGGCCCGAGTCGGCTCGGGGTCTTGAGTTTCCTGGCGGCCCCCGGCAGGCGGCCGCATTGTTTGCGCAGAGCTGTCTCCGGAGACCCCCAGCTCCCGCGATTAACTGCGGCAACGTCAGCGCCGCGCCGTGCGGCTTCCCGGCCCAGCCTGTGCTGCCGCTCCGGGGTCCTGAGTTGTGGGGTGCGGGCAGGGCGGCCCAGAGTGGTGGGGTATAGACTGAGCCCCAGAGTTGGGAGGTGCAGACAGAGCCCCAGAGTCATGGGGTATAGACAGGGCAGCCCAGACTTGTGTAAACAGAGTGGCCCAGAGTTGTGGGGTGTAGACAGGGCGGCCCAGAGTTGTGGGGTGCAGACAGCGCGGCCCAAAGTTGTGGGGTGCAGACAGCAGCCCAGAGTTGGGAGGTGCAGACAGAGCCCCAGAGTCATGGGGTATAGACAGGGCAGCCCAGAGTTGTGGGGTGTAGACAGGGCAACCCAGAGTTGTGGGGTGTAGACTGAGTCCCAGAGTTGTGGGGTGCAGAGTGGCCCAGAGTCATCTTGTGTAGACAGTGGCTCAGAGTTGGGGGGTATAGACAGAGCAGCCCAGAGTTGTGGGGTGTAGACAGGGCAGCCCAGAGTTGTGGGGTATTATAGACTGAGTCCCAGAGTTGTGGGGTACAGACAGCAGCCCAGAGTTGGGAGGTGCAGATAGAGCCCCAAAGTCATGGGGTATAGACAGGGCAGCCCAGAGTTGTGAGGTGTAAACAGAGTGGCCCAGAGTTGTGGGGTGTAGACAGGGCGGCCTAGAATTGTGGGGTATAGACTGAGTCTCAGAGCTGTGGGGTATAGACAGAGTGGCACAGAGTCATCTTGTGTAGACAGTGGCTCAGAGTTGTGAGGTGCAGACAGGGTCCCAGAGTTGTGGGGTGTAGATGAGCCCCAGAATTGTGGAGTGTGGGTGTAGCCAGCAGCGGCCCAGAGTTGTGGAGTGTGGACAGAGTGCTCCAGAATTTTGGGGTGTAGGCGGAGAGCAGCCCCGGAGTTATGGGGTATAGACAGGTCCCTTGTGTGCCTCGCCTGCCTGGCACCTGCCCAGCCACTCACCTGGGATATGCCCTACCTGCTCCGTGCCTCGGTGGCTCATGGTGGAGTGGCTTAGGAACGGTGCCTGCCAGGGGGCCACTGGGCGCTCTGAGGGATGTGTCCATGAGTCTGTGATTGAAGTGTGTGGTGGGAGGGGGTCCCTGCCGGAGGGCGTGGTCCGGAGAGGAGGGGTGCAGCCAGGCGAGGCATGGTGGGGAGGGGTCCTAGAGTCTAGAACATGCAGCTGGGGACAGCGAGGAGTAGGAGAATGTGGCCACGGTATTACTTTAGAGACATAATTGTCATCGTGAGCAATTTCATAAAAATGCCACCTCACCCAGTAGGTTTGAGGACCAGAGACCATGGCTCGAGGGCCTGCAGGGACACTCCTCAGGCGGGTGGCCCACTGCTTGGCTGACTGGCGACAAGGGACACCCCCCGGAACGCTGGGATGGGTGGAGCAGGGGAGGCCACGGTGGCTGGAGGGAAGGCCATGGACTGGGGCTGGATGTGTGGAGCGACTGCAGTGGCCCTTTCGTGGGGCGGGGTGGAGGCACTGACCGGGCCTGCGTGGCAGTGAGGAGGTGGCTGTGGGCTGGTGGCCCTGGGGTCAAGGACAGGCCTTGTTCCCTCTTTCCAGAATGGGGTCGGCTGAGGGGGATGTGGCCAGGCAGAGAGGGGCGGAGGGGGCACAGGGGGCTTGGGCTGAGCTCTGGGTTAGGGTGAGGCTGTGAGGGAGTGGGTTTCAAGGTTGGGGGTGGGTCAAGGCTGTGGGAGGTCGCGGGGGATGGAAGTGCTGGCTAGCTTCCATGGGAGATCCCTCCAGGTGGCCCAGAGTTGGCTCTGCTGCTACTGTCTTCTGTCGCCCTCTGTGCCTGTGCCTAAAGCCAAGCAAAACAGGGTGCCGGGCAGGCAGTGTGTCAGGGCTTCACAGGCTATGGGCAGGTGGGCGCAGCTAGGGCCTGCCTCATACCTTTTACACCTTGCACCTTCCTGGACTTGGGTGGAATTCCTGGAAACATTAGACTTCCTAATTAGCGCTTGAAAGACTTACTTGTGGCTGCTGCAACAAGTGACAGCAAACTTAGTGGCTGAAGCCATGGAAATGAATTCCCTTGCTGTTCTGGAGGCCAGAAGGCAGTGGGGGTGTCCCTGGGCTGACACCCAGGTGGTACCTCAGCAGGAGGGAGCCCACCCCCCAGCCCTTCCAGCTTCCCAGGGCTCCCACCCACCGTGGCCTGGCTCCCCTGCTCCCTCTGCCTCCTTCCTGCAAGGACACCTGGGATTGCACTCAGATGGGGGGGGGAGGGGGCTTTCTCCCATCACGGGGTCCTGAACATAGTCACAACTCCCAAGTCCCTGTTACCTATCTCGAGTGACATCCATGGTCCAGGGAACTAGGACCTGAGCCTTAGGAGCCCACTCTTTAGCCCTCCACCATGCTCCTGACTCCATTTTTGGGAGGCCTGCTTCTTCCCTCCCCGTGTGGAGGAGCAGCCACATCCTTTCCCTTCCTCCATGGCCCAAGAGAGAAGATAAGCCTTGCTTGAGGTCCAAGGTTGGTAAATGACTTGTTTTTACTTTTTGGGGGTTGGTGGTCCCCAGCTCCCTTGACCATCTGATAAAACTTGTAGTCTCTCTTTAGAAGTGTACTCTAGACACATGCACGCACAGTTTTACTGTAGACCAACTTTACCCATGATTGTTGGTCCCCCCTTTCTGAGGTTCACCCGGTTCATGGGTGCATGTGCTCCAGGCAGACAGCTGTTGCATTAGAGCATTCCCAGTGCAGTTTGTCCTTTCTGGTTGTCTTCCCTCTTCCATTCAGGGGCTTTGCTGTCCCCAACCCTGCAGTCATGGTGATCCCTGATGTCTGTCCTTCCCCATCTTTTTTCTTATTTGCACAGTCATTTATAGATGGACAAGCACACAGTCACCACCCCCCACAGACACACACACTCACAGGCACAGACACACACACAGCCTCCCCCAGACAAACAGACACATAGACATGCTACCTACACACAGACACCCACAGACACCCACAACCATCGACAGACATGGACATACACACACACACACCATGCTACTTATTTTCTCCTACATCTTGTCCCTTAACTGTGGCCATGGTCTGCCTTCTAGAACCCTGGGTGGAGAGCCAAGCCCACTGATGAAAAAATCAAGCAGCAGATCTTGTCCTGCCTGCTTCTTGGCATCCCCCAGAGGCACTCGTCCTGAGCTTTCTGTGCTCCCTGGTGCTCTCTGCTGCTCAGGCTGCTGTTCTCATGTATATATTGTAGACATTCTCTTTTGGTTTCTGTCAGAGGTACAGAAGCTGCCCTGCCCCTTTCCCCTCCATTTCCCACTGTAATCCTAGGTTTTGGTGGCACCTGTGGTCACTGCTTACCATTCTGACTCCAGGTTTGGTCTCTCAGGACACTCATGCATAGTGCTTTCCCTCTCAGCCCTGTCACCCACCTATGAAAGGGCTCTCTGCCTTACACTCAGCGTGCGTCCCACTGCATCCCTGTTGTGGCGGTGCTTGTCGTTGGGGGACTTTTCTCCTGGAGTCCTCCATCCTGCCCCAGGCTCTGCTGGTCTGGGGAGCCCCACACCCAGCTGCTGCACAGCTTCCCTCTGCTGCTCTCCCTCTGTATTGGTCGCTGCACTCTGGACCCCCTCTCTCTACCTGGGTTCGCTCCTTGTTTTGTTGAAGGACATACTCTGGATAATTAAGAAGCAGTACGTAGATATTACTTTTCTTATTTTTTTTAAAGATTTTATTTATTCATGAGAGACAGAAGGGTAGAGACACAGGTAGAGGGAGAAGCAGGCTCTATGCAGGGAGCCAGACGTGGGACTTGATCCTAGGGCTCCAGGATCAGGCCCTGGGCTGAAAACAGCACTAAACTGCTGAGCCACCCAGTGTGCCCTAGGTATTACTTTTCTAAAAAGATTTTATTTATTGAGGTGGGGAGGTAAGGATGGAGAGAGAATCTCAAGCAGACCCCCCACTGAGCATGGAGCCTGACATGGGGCTTGAACCTTTGACCCCTAGACCATGACCTGAGCCGAAACCAAGGGTTAGACGCTCAAGTCACAGCCTCCTGGGCGTCCCAATGTAGATATTACTTCTGTCTTTGATTTTGAAGCTATCTTTACTCCTTGGTAACTTTTAGTTTAGCTGGGTATAGAATACTGAAATACTGAAAAGTATTATCTCAGAATTTTGAAGATGTTGCTTCACTGTCTTCGGTTTCCAGTATGGGTGCCATTGTGATTTCAGTTCTCTGTCAGTGATCTGGTCCCAGGAAGCTCATAGGAGCTTCCTTTGCTGCCCTATGCTCTCAAGTAGCCTGTGATGGTGCTTGCGCTCATCGTTGTGCTGGGCACATGCTGGGACCCTTCAGCCTGAGGACTGATGTTTTGTATTACTCCTGAGAGAATTTCTTGCCTTAAGTCTTGTAGTTTCTTTCTGGAACTCCTGTTATTTGGAGTTTGGGCCTCCTGGCTGACCTGCTA